ACCACTGATTGCCGCACAATGTCCGCCAGTTAGATTTGTGTCCGACTTGCTCTGATGTCATGCACACATAGGAAACAATAACCTCATGCAACCACACCTAGAGCCAGGCGTTGCAGCTGCTCTGTATCGACTTTAAGACCCAGGACTGATTAAAGATCTGATTGGCTCTTAGTTTTGACCACAAACTTTTTGGTACAAAATCCAAATTCCCTGTATAACTGTAATATTTAACACTACATTGCAGGCTATTACTGTCATGCCATGCAATGGAGGTTTAATCTGTGAACAAACATATTGTGTGGTTGACAATAATAACAATGACAAAGTTTATTTATATGTCCAAAAGTGGTCTGCAGACTACAGGTAGTCTAAGGATGGATCTAACAGGATGTAGATGTTTCTGTGACTTTCTGTATATTATTTGAAGGCTGCTGCAAACTGTCCAACCTGACAGCTTTTTGTCCCCGCAGCCTGCTGCTGCCGCCTGGTCTCATCCACTTTCCAGGCAAGGCGCAGTTCATCTCGACCGAGCCTACTGGTTCGGTTACATAGTGACATTTAGGAATTTGACAAAATGATTTAACAATGAAATTCCAATGTCTGCACAGAGAGAGATTGCAGAGGGATTTCACATGCTTGTACTTTTCAGCAGCGCGTTTGAGTCCAGCTCATAAGTCCTCTCTCTTTCGGACTCTCTCAACATTTTGTCATGAATGCGGAGCGAACCCAGTTACATCAGATCAATCAGTCTCTGAAAACTTCAATTCATTCAGACTCCAAAGAATGATGATTGATTAAGTTTGCGTTGCCATAAATGTCCCGGCTTGTTACTCCTTCCTGTAAACCAGCAGCTTATCATCATCAGTCTGACCAGATGGAGGCCTGGCTATGTGAGATTAGAGAGAACGATTTTTTTTTGTGACCAAAAACGTCAGTCAGTTTGTTATCAAATACAGCTATATAAGTTATGTAAAATATGTTTGTGGAACTACAACAATGATTTGAGTATTTTGTCCATATTGTGGTGAAGTTACCACTGGAACATGGAGCATACAGATAAAAAAGGACCCACACCTCATATCCACACCTATACTGACTATAGATGGGCAGTTTGTGAATACAAGAGTTTATCCATATTAAAATAAAGAAAAGCAGATGTAACTCAGACAATCAAACAAAAATAACAATAAATGGGATATTAACAGTGGCGAGTGCAACAAGCACTATTGAGCTGCATAAATCCAATATCCTAAATAGCAAAAGACACAGAATAATGAATAAAGCATCACCAAGGCAGGTAACACTTAGATGGAGTGTATTTTTTTATTTATCTATTTCACTTTATTTCTTAGCTGAGGTGCTTCTCTCTCCAGCTTAACTATACAAATATTTAAGATTATTTTTAAACTGGTGTCTATCGCTCATAAAGGTCTGCATATCGTTAAATCTGAACATATAATGACGCAGAAAAGCAGGAGAAAAAAAAGGCGTTCAGAGATGCTCCCTCTGATGAAGCATATATGAAAAAAGCTAACCAAAAGAATATGATTGATTTTTTGTGTTTACGCTATAAAGAAATCAGCTGTGTATTCTGTTGTGGCACACTGGCACACTTGGTCAACATATTTTCATAGAAAACAGCAGGCAAGGCTGTTCTGACACACAGCATATGGTGCTCACTTCAGATTAAGAAACGTGGCAGTAATGTTAAAATATTTCACAGAATTTATCAAACACCTCACAGGATAGTATTTTATAGTATTTCCTTCTTTTTCTCAGAGAGTCTGTGCAAATAGAGTTAAGGTGTGTATCTGTTTGTTTATATTATTGATGGTTATATTACTTTATCTTAGATTATCCATTTATTTAATATATTTAATCATATGCTAAGTTTGTCTGTTTTAATTTGTTACTAAAATGTGAAATAAAAACATTTAAAACATCCTTATCTCAGTGAGCCTAAAACCTACCAAAGTGCCCTTAAGCAATACACAGACTCCCTGCCAGCTTACTGCTCTGCAGCTGAACGTGCTCCACGCTGCGAGTAAACAAACTCAAGGAGTTTTCCTGCAGGGTGCGACAAAGTATATCACATCGTTATTCAGCCGGTGACTCACGGTTCACATACAGTATAGAAAGTACCTTTCCTCTGATTAAGTCACGTATAAATACTCGTATCATTACACACAACGCTCACACCTTTCTCAAAGCTGAGTGCCAAGAACGTCTATTTCTGTGCAAAACTGCCGTGCACAGTGGGCGGTGGGAGCGTGCACGTGAGGCAGCTGCTGGCATGAGGCCGGGAACCTGAAGCGCGCACACACACTCTCACTCACATGCACACACACACACACATATGCCAGAAACCTGAACTGGTGACGGCTTGGCCCCTGGTTGGTTATTTTAGTCCACAGACACTGAGAAGACACATTCAGCTTTGTCTGGTTGCACACAGAAAAGTTTTATCAAGGCTGAAACATATTATTAATTCTCACTTACAGCATCATACTCAACATTGGTTAATGAATAATTATGCTTTGGTTTGTCAACTGAATCAATAACACCTGAGTGGGTTATCTTCTCATTGTATTTTGTGTATGACAGTGATGCAACAAGGTTAAAGTGAAATGTCATGATCAACTCCAAATACAACTCAAAAGAGTCTTTGTACTATTTTGGCTTTTCAAAAAGATATCAACATGTTTCTGCTGTGACACATTTCATTGAGGGTATGTGCATAAGGATGAAAAAGAATTAAAGCGTGAATATATAAGCATTAGAACCACAGTTGGAACTTGGTGAAATGTCTCATTTAATTGTGTTTAATGAACACTAATAACTGAATACTGCTAATGAATCATTTAATCGCATAATAAATCTCTCATTCTGTCACTCAATCTATAGTCACTTTGCTGGTTTTAATACACTTTCCCCTGTGCTGATTGTAGTGACTGAGCTTTGCAGAGATGAAATGTACATCACAGTTTACATATTATGTAACAAGCTATATGCGAGTAAATCACTGGGGAATATGTGCTGAAAAATAAACATGTTCATTAGTTTGTGGCAAAGTTGTTTCTTTGTTCATTATAAACTTAAACATATAGTCAGTTTATAAGGCCCTGTTCACCCCTGGCATTAATATGCATCTTGATCAAATCTCAAGTACAGGTGCGACTGCACCCAAGGCACATCAAGGACACATTGAGATCTGATCGCTTAGATCACATTCAGAGGTGGTCTTGGCTGCATATGACCACATAGAGGGGCAGAGGTACCTACATACAGTGGTATATTAACGTGCAAAACAACAACAAAATGCAAAATGGATTCTTGTAGATTAGAGGAATAAACCAAGTCTGTGTTGTTTTGATTTTATCACCCGACAAGGTCTTTGCAAACTTCATCTTCTTCTTTTAATTTCTGGCAGACTAGGCACAGGAAGTACACCGTTGCCTTTGTCCGGTGAAAGCCTACAACACGACACATTGGATCTTTGCAAAAGGAAATGATAAATGTGATTATTTGCCTATGGAGCAGGGAAGTGAGAGCTGATCAAGTGGTCACTTGGTCAGACATATGGGGAGACGCTGCCAGGTGTGAACTGACATACTTAGAGCCACTCAGAGTCCACTTGTGATCAGATTACCCAAGATGCATATTAATGTCCGGTCTGAAAAGGGCCACACATTTGATACTCGATATTTATATACAGATGGGTCACAATCTAAAGTAAAAACTCTCTGCAATCTTCTCCAGTCTCCCAAAGGTGTTTAATTGATTCGTATAATTTTCAATCTCATCATTCAATGACCCCTCGTGTCCTTTATGAAAGCATCTGCATTTGTCAATTTTTGTGTGTGTTTATAGATTATATAAACTTTGATAAGAATTTGATATACTTAAAAAAAAATACTGATTCTTCCCAACTGCTTCATGTAAAACAGGAAGAAAAAAAAATATTCATTTAGCAGACACAATACATCCAATATGGATTTCTGATCATTACCGCCCGCTCCCATTGTGTCACTTACCCGCTCCAGAAAGTATTCTGACCATTCAGTCCTGCACAATAGAGATTAAGAGTCTTCTCCTGTCCCACAGGACATCGTTATTGTACTCTATCAGTAAAAACTGAGAAAGAAAAACCCGGGACCCACAGTTTGACAGCCCTCTACCACCTGCAGTAAAGAGATTTTCTTAGGGTCCCGCAAGATCAAGCCAAGAGTAATACTTTTTCAATGTTTGATAAATAGCAGTATGTATAATCCTATGTGGGGAGGGCCAAATCCTTGACAGGGAATTAAAAATTAATTAACTAACTGCAACAACACAGATACCATAACCCAGTTTAACAATATACAGTCAAACAACCAACAATAAAGTAACACAAATAATTAATTAAACAATTACTGCCAAAAACATCAGATAATAATATCTGATCATATGAATACACAAACAGTAAATCATAATCCAGAAGTTCCCACTTACACATTTACAAATATACACAGAGACTGAAATAGTTACAGCTATGCATGCACAGACATGCAAACACACTCACCAGATGCTTGCTGCGTGAACCACAATTTAAGAATTCACACTCACACATCTAAGTGATCAAAGCATTACTTGTTGTGCCATAAAGGAAAGTTCTGTATTTGAATGAAATCATCCCTATATATACACAATGAGCACATACAAACATGCTGGTCCCCCATGTATAGCAGGCTAAGTCAGAGCGAAGGCCTGTTTGTGTTCAAGCGTATTTGTGTGTGGGACAGGAACCTCCAAGCTAAAAACACTGGGCACCTGTTGCCTGGATCCCACTGGGAGAAATTCCACTCCTCGGTCGCTGTATGTGTGTGTGTGTGTGTGTGCGTGTGCGTGTGCGTGCATGAACCTGTGTCAGTAACAAGAATGTTGACACTGGACTTTCCTGTCTCACATGGACACTGTGCGACATCACTTCCTTTACGACCCTTCCCTATTTAAAGGCCGGTGCGGAGCCAGGGGGGATTCATCGGGGGATTAAAGCCAAAGTCCTCGCACTCTTCACACCAGCAGCTCACCCACTGACCGACTGACGATCTGGAAGGCTCCGGATGTTTCCGTGAAGATACATCCCGACTATGAAGGCTGATGCAAACTGACCAGAACACAACCAGAACGTTTCTGAGAGATTCAAAGAAAAGAATTTGATTTTATGCATTGAGATAACTTCTGATTTTTGGAAACAGTTTCAAAACAGTTGGAAAAGCGCACCCCAAAGACTTGACGCTAACTCTTGGAATTGCCACAACACATTCTGCAAGCAGAGTAGATTTCTAGAGCATTAGAACAAGAAAAACATCATCAGGCAAACATCCCTTCTGATAACCCGTCAGCATGAGTAGCGGTGGGACCACCACAGTTTCACCACAGGAGCCCCAGGCTTTCAAACGAGCAGTACGGAAGATAAAATGTGCTGCCATGGTGGCCAACTTGGCCAAGAGCTGGCAGGGCTGGGCCAATGAACACAGCGACAAGCAGGATTGTATTCCGAGCGGCTGGATGCCTTCATCTATTGAAGACGAAGACAAAAAAGACAATCATGTGGTCAAACTTACCGTAACCCCGCGTGTAATCACAGCTGATCCTGATGACAACAGCAGCAGTAAGATCCGGGCCTGTGCTGTGACCAAGTCTATCCAGCCAAAACGCACCGAATGCAGCAGCATCGACCTGGTCAACGCCATTCGAGGAAAGATGGAGTCCGGTCCGGAGGAGAGGAAGCAATTTCTGGGAAACGAGTCACCGACACGGCGGCGACAGATGAGAGCGCTTCAGAGCGCAGGAGGAGGGGTCATCCAAGACAGGAAGCTGATGCTTCAGGACAAGAAGCTGGGTTCAAGGAGCAGCAGCGTGGACACAGAGGATAGCGGGCTGGGAGAGGAGGCCGGGCTCAGCGACAATGGTGAACCAAAGACTGAACTGGGTGACATCCTGACCAAGAAACAGACCAACAGGCCCAAGGTAGAGTGGTTTAATTGGAAATTTCAACACAATGAAATAAAGTTTTCAAAAAAAGTTAAAATGATTCAACATAAATTCAAATCTAACTTGAATTTCAGGCAACACCAATCAATATTTTTATGCTATGGATCAAATCACTGAGACTAATGTGGAAGGTGTCACTTGATGACTACAGAGTTGCCACCCAACTTCTCTATTTCAAAGAGCTTTTTAGCCTATTTTATCTTTTTATATCAAATTCACTGTTGGGTTCAGTCTCTGATCTTATCAACACAGTTCCCATCAATAGGACAAAGCTGTTTTAAACTAAATATACCTGCCTGGTAGCAAATTAGCAACTAGCTGGTGAACATAGTGGAGAATTTAGCTAAAAGGAAAGTGAATATTGGACTAACATCTGTTAGATGTTAACACGACTCCAAATTATTCGTAAAATAGGCAATTGTTGGCTAACACATTCACAACTTTGTGATCATATGTCAATCTTGTGCTTTCAGTTTGTTCTGCAGCAGCTTTAAATCAACTTAAAATAAAATCAAATGAAAAGTAAATTGACTCAGATGCCAAGATAATGTTAATGAATATGAGACAGTTATGGGAAGCTAGCTTGTCCAGGATTTTACATGTCTCTTTTTTTTATATTTATCAGCAAGTTCCAGTTATTTGCAGCTCATACCTATTGTAAATTTATCTGATATCCTTTCCAAGTATCAAAATATTTAAATTAGCAAGGCTGGAAAGCTGCTGGAGTGCACTTTTTGTAATTTGTCCTTCGTCCTTTGTCCTAAGTTCACAAAGTCAAGGGAAACACAGCGTTGGCAGAAAAGGCCAAACACTTTATCTCTGGCTAACATCCAAACATCTTATAATGTGATAGAGGTCTTGAGAGAATTGGTCCTTTGGTACAGTTTAGAGTTGTTGGTGACAGGCTTATAGAGGACCTAACGAGCAGAGTTACAAAACATTGCATAATTGCCTTTTATGTTTTTTTCCAAGTATGAGCCAGTATGTTGACCAGACACGAGTTGCTCCTGTCTGCTTTCTGTACAACCACAATAAAAATTTCTGGTGTGCCTAAATCTGACACACAGTGGAGGACAAATATCCTAAATTAGAGCATAAATATTCACACACAAGTCACACAGTGTGAATAAACAAGTTGAAGCAGAAGTCCCTTTGATGTCACCTGAAGAAATCCAAAACCAAACAGCATAACAACATAACTCTGATGCTAAAATCCCTCCTATAAAAGGCATAGGAACGGCTAGTGGCACCCTTGACAAGTTGAGGGGGTTGCCGGGGAGCGAGTCCAACTCATAAAAACACAAGCTGGACTGTGCGGCAATGGAATATATGTAAATAAAAATAGTCACACTGCCCAATGTGTTTTCCAACCTGACCTTCAGGTGGAACAGTCAGGGAGGGGAACACGGGGGGGAAAGGAGACAGGGCAGTGAGGGACCTGGACGAGAGAGGTAATATAAGAGACACACACTGGGACAAGAATCATTTAGAGAAAAATACAACATTCAAGAGATATGAGAAAGATTATAAAGTATTATTATTTATTTCATTCATTATATTAATCTCAGTTTGGACGAGTTGGCACTGTTCATGTGCTATAATTGCCATCTAAATTAAACAGATTTGATAAATGTATTATCCACATTATATAATAACAAGTCAATAATAATAATCAAAAGAAGAAGAAATCACGGTAGTGTTGGCCTGACGGTAGCATTTAATGGGGACATGAATGTGCTGACAAATCAGGGACGCTGGAAGTCAGTCAAAGGTGGGGGTGCTGAGAGAAAGTCTGTCTATATAATGATGTCATACTCTTTCAAACCTCACTCCGTCAAACCTCTTTCCTGACGTAAATACCATTGTACACATGTGAATCCCAGTAGAAAAAGTCAATATAAGTTTCAATGTTTTTATGAACTATGTTGTTTTCATTATGCCAGATTTTAGGGGGTGCGGAAGCCCCCCTCAACACCCCTACTTGTAGCACCCGTATGACAAAATAATGTTTTATTACCACTGACGCATGAGATGATGTGTTTACTTGAAAACTGAGTGGCTGGATTAATGGTGGAACAGATTTAAGACATGTTGGTCACAGGCAAACAAACAACAGCTCTGGTTGAGTCTCCATTAGCTCCTTAGATTAACATGGAACAAAAATATCTGAAAAAGAGCTTCAAGATTTCGACTTTCTTCACCAGCTACTTACACACTGTCTTAGCACTGTTTGGTGCTGGGCAGGTAGTATTCAGTGGGTTTGTTAGAGCTTTTTTTCCCTTATAAACGATGCTGCTGCATCTGAAAACATTTGGAAAGGCTGATGAACCAAAACAGCAATAAAGGTACATAAACTGAGCTAAAAGACACTAAAAAGACACAACTCACATAACACGTCTTGACCATGTGTTCATAGAAGAATATTGATGCCAGCTTTAATGTTAAATACTGCATTCAAAGTACTGCATTCAAAGTTTAATAAAAGTAAAACTTGTGTATTAAATTAATATAAAATGGAAATACCCAAGTAAAGTAGACATACCTCCAAGTTTTACCAGCAACGAATGCTGAGAAAGATGGCAGAGGCAAAATGGAAAAAGGGGATTATCACTTTAAGGGTCGCAAAGTTTTGTAGAAGGCCTCTCCCTGACAAGTACTCAGTTTTCATAGAACAAATTCCAAAGAGGTATGGTGACACTGATCTGAAGGCCTGGCAAGCTGAGGAAAATGCCAAAGGAGATGAAAGGAGCACGAGAGGGGAAAGGGGGCAGACGGAGGTTGGGATAGGAGACACGATTAAATAGGCAAGAAGATTTTGATGAATGAGGGGGAGGGAGAAAGAAGAGAAGTGAGATTTGATATCATAAAAATGTTGCAACAATAAATGAAAAGGGGCCTATGAGCGTTTCAGTCTTCTGAAGAAAATCCCCCACACCACCTGCTTAGGTTTTTAAAAATCTATTGCTGGATCCTCAAGGTTGTAAAGTATTTCCATTAGTTCATATGACTGGGTACAAATCAAAGGCCAAGATGGGGATCAATTACATCCAACAGGGGAGTTTATTTAAAGATTGGGGTCACTAATCATAGTTAATATATATAATATAATAATAAAAGCAAACAGTCAGCGTGTGTTGTATTAAAAAAAAACTAGCGATAAATGCAATAAAAAGGAAAAAACAATGTTCCCATTTGTGCAGCAGAAGCCAAGATATCCTGACTTTTAGTCCCTATGTTGGTCAAGCTCCAAAAACGCTGGATCCTACATTACCCGTGATGCAACTCATTAGTGTCCTTCATCAGAATCCCCCAGCCTCGTAAAGGCATTCTTTTAAAACTCCACATTCTCAGTACTGCAGTTTTTCGTCGAAACGTTTGTAGTATCCAAGCCCAAGTCAAGATAGATATTTTTTCAGACTTGACAAATCGCATCCAGGGCCACAGAGGAGAGTATACAACCATTTTCACAGGCTAGATATGAGTGGTACTCACCGTGGCTAGTATGCTGATTTTGATATAAAAAATTGAAGCATTGAGGTACACCTTTAATAAAGAAATTTTACTTTGCTTATTTGTTTATGTGAAAATGATCTTTAAACTCTCATGTTAACCTTCTCCCCATCATTTATCCCCAGATTAAAATTGCCACTACGGGTGACATCAAAAACCGCTGGCAGCAGTGGTCTGTGCAGCACATGGAGGGCCAGAAGCTCAACCCCTTCAGTGAGGAGTTTGACTATGACTATGCCATGTCCCAGCGCCTGCAGAAGGGCGACTCCGGCTACGGTCGACCCAAAGATGGCTCCAAGACGGCGGAGAGGGGCGACAGGGCCCACAAACACATCCACAGGGAGATGGAGGAGATGGTGTGGATCATCAGAGACATGGGCTATAAGGATAAAGAGGGGAGGACCATCGTTACCTTCGGCCGACTCTTTGACCGCTACGTGAAGATCTCAGATAAGGTGGTGGGCATCCTGCTGCGCTGCCGCAAACACAAGATGCTGGACTTCGAAGGGGAGATGCTGTGGAAAGGACAGGACGATCATATCATCATTACAGTGAGGGACTGAGGACAGATGAGGCAAACACACCTCACATCAGCTCGTCTTGAGAAATAATGCTATCCATGCTAATCACAATGCTGCACAAGGAAAATGGAGGAAGAATTGGGATAATACACAGATGAATGCAGGTTCAGGGATATACACATGGGAGGGAAATTATAGTCACATTTAAATTTTATGTACATAAATTATTAAAAGGCATGTGAGTGTTCACGCACTCTCTCTCTCTCACAGCAGACTCATTAGTTCTTCTCATATACCTGACAGGTCATCCGGTGAAGGGAAGCTATCTTTATCATGCTAACCATGCTCGCCTTGCTAACTATGCTACACTGGAAGCCTTGAGAATGCACCACAGTGTCACTCATGCTGGAAAGCTTTACTCGGATTGTGACTGAAGAAACTTCAGTTTCATTTTTCATCTCATAAATCACAGAAAGACTTGACAAAGTCTCTGTTTTGTCCTCTTGAGCCAGTCATGTTGAAAATAAGTTAACTAGGGTAGCATTCAGGGGCAAGGGGACAAGGTTAGCCTTGTCACAGAATATTGTGACTTTTTGGAGTTTCAGATTAACAGGACAAAAAGACAAGAATTAGCCTACACAGCGATGTGACCAACTTTTTTTTTCTCTACCTTTGTGTTTTGTTGTGAGAGTTGGTATGATAAATGAAAGAAATAATAAATGAAAGCTCAGTTACCATTTCATTTTTTCTTTTTTACATTTTTGTATTGTATGTGCATTTTGTATTGGATTTCAATGTACGTTTACCAAATTTGAAAAAAAAAAAAGAGAGAGAAATTGGATGTATACTCAGGTGATCACACAGTTTCACTTCACAGCAGATTGAGTAACTTGAGGCTGCTCTATGGACTGATACACAGCACAGGGATGACATTTGGTTCCAAAACCATTGACTGTATCTGGACCACACAAATGATCTGTGAACTAGTGCCTTTTGGCTCCTGATTTGTAGAGAAAATGCTTTGTAGAGTTGTGTGATACAAATAAGGTAACAACAAAGTTTACTCAAGTATGATACTTATATATCATTTTTAGTTGAAATACTGAATATTTCCAATGTTACTTTCGACTACTACTCCATAACAGTTCAAAGGGAAATATTATACTATTATACAACATTTACGAGACAGGTTTAAAAAATTAACAGATTATGATTATAAATTAAAGGCTGGGGTGCTCAAGGTGTTTTCAGTTATGTGGCTGATTAGATCTACTCAGGTGCTACTACTGTGCACAGATGTGCTGGGATTTACATAAGGATGTTAAGAAGGATCAAATTGTCCCACAACAAAGCTAAATTATCAGTTTACTTTTCATAATGCAAGTACACTTTGAATGCAGGTCTTTTATTTTGGAATTGTGGTATTGCTGCTTTTAATTTAAGGATCTGAGTACCTTCTCCTCCACTGATTGTCTGGAAAGGAACAGACTAATAATACATTTGAGCTTAGTAATTGAAATTTGAACTGTTAATTTATGTTTGAAAAACTCTTGTCTCTTGAGTGGTTGTGTAAAGTGTGATAGTTTGGGCATAAATGATTCATCAGTGAAATATATTTGACCTCATTTTAAAGTTTTGGACATTTATTGTTTTAAATTGTGTTAAATTAAGACGGTTTTATTTTTTTTCCAATATTTTCTTCTTTCAAAGTGAAAGCCTTTGGGTCTTCTTACAGAAGTGCAATTTTGTCACAAAATGTGTTTTAAAAAACTGTGCAGCGTGGTGTTTCATGCATACGTTGAGATAACTGTAAATATACATGTGTCATTAGAATTTAGTACTGAGACTGTGAAGTTGTTGATGTGTAACATAGGCTACATGCAAATCAATAAAACTGAAATGTATATACTGTACATACTGTTTTCCTTTTTTAAAGGGGGTAGTGTGGAATACTGCTACAAAATAAAACAAATATTTACTTTTAAGGACTGACACATACCTCACTCACTGGACAGTTTCATTATCATGAATCATAGTGGTTACTGCATTTTACCTTTCTTTGTTGCATGATGAGCCTTTATATAGGTTTATAGTGGCTTATCCTACTGTCAGTAGTACATGAAAACATTACAATGGCATGACGGATATACTAAAGCCTTTGATTAGTACAGGGTTTTTTTGGTAAAAAAAAGAACTTAAAAATAAAAAAGATATGCTAACAACATTGCTTTTTGTGCTGGGTGATATACTGTGGAGGTAAGTGTAGTTTCCACCCTAAATGCAGTATTGTGCTGGACCTAGATGGCTGCGACACACACACCAGAGAGGACTGCTGGAGTTCCTCTTTGTGGACTTTGGAGAAGGGCTAAAGAAGCTTTGGAAAAAGCTGAGGAAGCTGAGCATTTGTGTTGACAGTGTGTGTAGCTGAAAAAAATAATATGTTTCTGTTGGATAATTGATCTCTTGTGTGCTGGGGGAATCCATAGTTGCAGAGACCTACTACATACTAGATGAACCAGTATACTGGTTTTAATTTCCCATATAATTAAATTTTTTCATATACTTGCTGATTGCTGTAACTCATTTGTTTCTTGTCCAATAGAAAATTTGTTATATCTTTGAATACTTAAATTTTTTTATTTTAAGTCTGTTTTTAGTCATTTTTATAAGCTACATTAACAGATTCCATTAGCAGATATAAAGGTCCAGTTGCTTGCAACGCCCTCGCTTCATTCTCGCGTTACAAGTGTGTAGGAGAAACTAGGGTGGCTGTGAGAAATACAAAAGGGCCTATTTAGAGCCAGGTTTGTCCCTTTTGGGCTACTGTAGAAACATGGCAGTTCTGCATTGCTATAAAAGTAAAAATATTCCACTTCTGCCATTAGATCTTCCTAAATATTACACACTGGACCTTTTTAATGATAGTTAATGTGTGAATTTATACTAAAATCTCATCTACTACCACAAAATCCAGTTATCTGCTTTGCTTTCACACCCTAAACAACCATGTTTGAAACCAGACCAAGACATTTTAAACAGGCATTCATGCAGTTGTTTGGTTTGTGCCAGATTTAAACTGACAACTTTCACACCTGCCAGAAAGAATTGATACCAGAGGGTATAGCTGTACCAGAATTAGTTTGAACTGCACCAAACAGATTAGGTGTGAAAGCACCTTTTAGATTAATAAGGGAGCCACAATCCCTATTTCCCCTCCTTACATTCCGCAAGAAAACCTTTTGTTGGAACCAATGAAAGCTGCCTTATGACATCAAATGTTGGATAAAGTTTAATTCAGAAGGTCCAGACATTTAAAAGGATCTATTCTTACATAGGAACAACTATTAAAATCATATTATAAACATTTTGTCTGAAGATGCACAATAATGCTTACCAGAGCAATAAAAGATGTAAGAAGGGTTATTTATAGTGGTTTTAACTTTACCTTTCTACTTGGTGGGCTTGATATGCTTTACTTTCTTGGATGCGTCCCCAGTGTCCTCATTTACTGATGTCACTGTTGCAATGAATTATGGGCTAGTCACTGGAAAGTCTACAGAGTTGCAGACTTGCTAAAAATCACTGGGGAAGTCTCCAGAAGTTCATGCCAGAGCCCTTAAGCGCTTGCTGATACTGCAGTGAGACAGTCTTAAGCCCTTGTGGACTCTTGAGGCTGTCAGTCCAGACACTGTTAGCAAATCACAGAGCTTTTTCACTTTTCTTCCTCACCAGGGTGTCTCTTGGAGGAGACACGGGAAGAAAAGCAGTTGAGCAGAGGACTAGAGAGGACTAATAGAGGCTATTTGGAACAGTTGGAACAGCCCAGATGTCTCTATTGACAAAGTGCAACGATCATGTCACTCATTGTCTGCAAGTTTTCTGTAGGGTCTATTTCATTGAAATTACATTTACATTTACGCACATATTAATATTATAATATAATATTATTATTAACCAAAATGCATTGTATGTATCCTAAATATAACTAAATTCTACTAGCTCTCTGAAAATACAGCTGAGAGAATCTTATAGGGGTGTGGTCTTGTGGCTATGAAGTGTGTGACGCCGGAGGTAACACCGGCAAGATTTCAACCAGTAGAGGGAGTTTGCTATATAAAGCACAAAATGTAGAATTAAAATACTTTGCAACAAAAAGGAAAGATTTTGACCTGAATCGACTGGACTAAAACTCCCACATATATAATTTTTCAGATGAAAGAAATGGTTTGGGGTTTTAGTTACTCTTTTAAGACCTCATTATTATTATTAATGGCTTTTATGTTTTTGGCACGTTTTGTGGCAAGCATAGTTTGTCTTTTTTGCTTTCAAGTGTAGAGTGATGCAATGGAGTTGCGATCTGCAACGACACCACTAGATGGCACTAAATCCTACACACTGGACGTTTAAATCAACCTATGTTTTTTTTTTTTAAAAGAGACCTGTTAAAGTATGCTAAAGTGTTAAAAAATAAAGTGTTAAAGTAAAAATATTGACTCCTCTATACGTAACAAAGGCTGAAGAATGACGTCATGTCACTAAGAGTGCATGGTTCAGAAAGTGTGCAAGCTATGGCAAACCTGGCAAACAGTTACTTGTTTACACACACAGTTGAATCAAAGCAACATTATCATTCATTTCGTTTAGCCACCTGGCAAATGTCAGTCCAATATGTACTCTCTTTTAACTCCTTAGGGAAATATCTGGCTCTTTAGCTGCTAAATGCTCCACTATATTCACCAGTTAATCTCTTACTGTGTCTACTGTTTCCTGATGCGGCAGGTAGTGTCCAGTGGGTTTTTAGAGCTTTTTGCTGAATATTGCTGCCTGCTGGACCCGGAAATGACGCTATGAGAGCCGCTGCTAAACAACTGTAAAGCTCTGTAAAGCTGAGGGGAGCAGCAGATTTGAATGATTATTTTCTGTAGGCTCATCACTGTAAGCAACACCTTTATCATCTTCATGTTGTTTTAAAATTGTCATTTGATACATTGTTTCTATAAAAAATATCACTTTAAAAATTAGGATTCCTCAAGTTTCTAAAATGGTATGAAATATGAAACAACAGGCAGGCTGCAAGACAGATGGCTAGCAGATGTAGTTCTTTACAGACTACATTAAGTAGATAAGTGGACCTGTTTCATATGTGTGCAATCACTTGTAGGTGCATATTATCCTTGCAGTCATATATTTTTGGCAGCTTAGCGTAAATTGTGGGTGAAAATGTAGGTCCCTTATTCACACAATGTTAGTTAATGATCAGACTGTTTCTGATTTGAATGTAGCTGCTACAAGTTGCAAAACAGGAACCACGAAGGAGTAGTGGGGGAAAAAAAGTAAAGGTGACTAACCCTAACCCTAACCCTAACCCTTATTTCCTCCTTTCCTAAAGCGTACAAAACCTAAAAATGTCACACTACCAAACAGCAATGCAGCAGGGGGCGCTACAGCGACAATGTCAACGCAGAGGAGCATCTGTGCTGACACACAGCTCTTTCCTATACGATGTCAGCGTTTGACTGAGGTGAAACATGCTGTTGTTTGGGACTGTAATTTCCCCTGTGGAGAAAATGATTTATGTCTCAATTTGCATTCGCACCATCTGAGGGCCTCCCGCTGGTTTATCCAAATTTAGTGTGTGAATTTGTCTTTCTGTCTTCGTGTATTCAAGTCACGCTAGTGCTTATGTGTGTGTGTGTCTGTGTGATGTGTGATGTCTCTGTCTATCAGTCTGCGCATGTGCATGCAAGTCATGCCTGTGTGTGTGTGTGTCTGCCTAGTGTGACCTGCCTTGCTGTCACGCAATTGCTGTGTGTGTGTGTGTGTGTGTGTGTGTGGAAGAGAGAGAGAGGGAGAGAGACCTTAATACAAGCTGATCAGTTTGGTCGCCAGGGAGTCTGGACGTCTGCCAGAGAGAGAGTGAGAGAGAGAGCGAGAGAAAGAGAGAGGGAGGGAAAATAGTGATTGATGGGGGAAGAAAGATTGAGAACAAGAGATACTATAAGAGAAAAAGTGAGAAAGAGCTAGAAAGGAGTGTAAAAGGAAGTAAAAATCAAGGGATGTAGAGACAGAGACTATTCCATGTAGACATACAGGCTAAAGCTTCATACTTGATTGTCCTTAGCTGCTGACTGTCAAACAAAATGAATCCCTCCTCTCCTCTGTTTCTCTCTCCAGCTCCCCATCTCATTCTCTTTCTTCATCTTTCTTATTATTGTGTTTTTTCTTCTCCCCACCGGTGCCTTTCTTCTCTTTTTTTCTTTCTTCCACTCTCATCTGTTCTCATAGGAGGTTTGTAGATTATTGAGGTTCAGGAAAGTTTTTAAGAAGAAGTCGTTGGTCATGTTATCAAGACAAAGCTCCGCTACTTTTTATTTATATTTTTTGCTTTTAAGTGCACGTTTGACAACACATATGAGAACAACAATAGGGGAAAGTTTTGTGAACAGAGTTTGACACTGCTGCTGGTTTTTCTGCCATACAATAAGTTGAATTGTCATGGATTTAAACCATTTGTAGCCGCATGGATGAAAAGTTATCTTAGTTACAGGAAATAGTATAATTTAATGGTATTTATTCTAAGGTATAAGAGCAGTAAAGAGTGGTGTGCCTCAAGGGAGTTATCTAGGACCACCACTTTTTTCAAAGCAATGTATAACAAAGACACTTCATTGGCCACGTTAAGCTACAATAAATAACCATTTGTCTTAGTTAAGTGTAAAGAACAGCGTGCATTACCTGTTTGTTTTATACAAAATGTCATCATAATTAAATCTCCAGAGATACCTTTTCAGTTAATTTCATTTTTTAAAAGAATTGTGGAGATTCCTTCACGTACCACTAGGGGGAGCTTGGTTACCAGTAGTAAATGTACCATAGTCCTCTAGTAAACTTTGAACATTCCAGCATTCAAAAGCATATCCCATGAGTCTTAGCCATTAGCACGATGGCAAAGCCACAAAGGAGCTGTAGTTTCTGTTGTCTCTTTCATTATATTGCCAATTCAGATCGAACAAATACGTAAATAAAAACAAACATTAAAACATAATGATGGAGTTAAACTATTTTATTGACAGCTGGAATAGAATAACAATACACCAAATTGTGCATTTACTCAACAATATAACAGTTTGCCAAAGAATCTTCAAATATACTTCTGTTTTACATGACAGTGCGGTGAATTAAACTAAAGTTACACCACTTTGTCACTCTTCTGATAACATTCGAGGCAGTAATACATGAGCAACAAATGGCAAGCAATGCAGATGGGCATTTGGTGCTTAATGCTTTGCTAACATTAGTTTATGCTAACACTTCTTGACACTAACCTATACATGGGACGAAAAGTATTGAAAACTTTTTAAAAATTACAATATACTTGTAAATGGAAAATTGAAATTGAAATCCTTATATGGCTGGGTGATTCTTAAAATGTGGATTTTAAACAGTGATGCTCTCCCTTCCTTTTACTCCTGCTGAGCTGCCATTGAGCAAACCAATGTAACCAGTGAAGCTACTCAGTGGCTGACAGTAGAAGACTGAAGGGATGGAGCAACTCTCATAAATGTGTTTACCAAAGGAATGTGTAACTCAGAAAAATAATATACAGTATGCTTAGAAAAAAACTTCCCTGGATAAATTCTTATCACTGAAGATTTTCCATCAGCATTGCTTCCAACAGTTGCCCATATAACATGTTCCTGACAGAATGAGAAGGCCGGTAAAACTGTCTCATTTAGTATCCCAAAACCAAAACATCACCTCGTTATACGTAGTATTTTAGGGGCCTTAGGAGATCGTTAGGAACTTTCTCTGGTCTCAAAAGACCTCACATGATGGTTTAGAGATGAGAATTTCAGGCTGTGAATGCTGTAGATAAATTACTTTGTATCATCAACCATTATTGGAGAAATGAAAGGAGGATTTGTTTAGAAGATTTTGGGTTGGAGCCCAAATGAGTTGACACCAGTGTGTAACTAGTAATGTGTGACGGAAATGTGAACTCATAGAGCTGAGAGGTAATTTAACCAGGAATGGTGTCGAGAAACACAAGTTATGAAACTCCATGGCACTTAACTTCACACTGGGGCCACCCAACCTAAAAATGTATTCACTCAGTGTGGGATTCACCAGATGGCATGTGGGGGAACACTTTTATGAGGGCTGGGTTGGGGACTGCCTCTGAGGGAAAAGTTTGGGAACGGCTGCCTCTGCAGCACACCAGACTGGAGGAGATGTGTTGCTTTTGGGATCCACCAGCCACCGTTTCATAACATCCGCAGAGGAGCTGCATCTACCCTTTCATCCTCCCACTCCTCCACCTCTTACCCGGGGAGAACGTGATATGATATGTGTCTAGAAATGCACACACTGTCACTCTAAAAGAAAAGGACACAAATAGTGCTCTCTTTCTTTCTAATCAGTGAAACCCATGAACTTAAGAGGAAAATGATATGGACAATTTAAGCTCAGGTAACAGAAGGGTTTTTGTTTTTTTTTAAAGAACTTCAAAGGGAGTTCTACCCAGATTCACTTCTTAGGTTGATCTTCTGCAAACACAGACAGAAACTGTGGAAATAGGCTCTGCCTGTGCACTCTGTGAGAATAATCAAGTTCCACATATGCCATCCCTAAACTCAACAAAATCAAAAGGTGTTCTGCCATTTTACATCAAGGTTAGCTCAGACATTAGCTCATGCATGTGCACAAAAATGTATTTGTATTGCAGTTAGAACAGTAATATGGATGATACACATGAACTCAAGCAATGGAAGTGCAACAGGATGCCAATCATTGTGAAATCAACCTCAGATTACATTTTGGCTCAACCCTAAACAAGTTTGCAAGCTTCTGGAATATGGACTGTATTATCGGAATTTGAACCTATAGGGCCAATAAAATTTGAAAAGTTGCGAAAAGTGGCATCAATAAATTGTGACTTTTATTCGCTTTCATTGAAATAAAGGGGCCGCCATCTTGAAACACATCCTCCAATTCTCTTAATACATCCATAGAACCAGTTCCTACAGCTTACGCTTACATTTATGGCTATTTCAGATTTCTTTGCATGTTACTGATGTGTTTTTGATTGCCTGAACATATCTTCTGTTGATTAGGTTCTCCTTGAAATGTGCATTTATAGTGAGGAAAAACACGTTTGGAAGCCATGTTTACACCTGCTTCAGATCATGTAAATGCTGCTGTTGTTTAATCAGGGATCTCCTACTGGTTCTATTATTGTGCACATGTAAATATAACCATTGCCAAACAAGAGGGCTGCAATGCTAACATCACTCATGGTTAGAAATGTTCTTGAGATCCACCATTGAATTCCCTTGTCTGAGATGGCTGAGGGAAACTTTTAGGGACAGTCACGTTGCCTTTGTTTCACATTTATAAGTTATTAGCTAAACACATATGCTGCTTATTACATGTAACACAACTGTCCCTAGAGTGTTTTCTCTGTATCTTAGTCAATGGCTCCGTTATAGTGTCCCGGAATGAGCAGTGCTAATGAGTAAGGGGAAAGCGTCTGGTTTTGCAGAATTTCAACCCAAAAGGCAGTTGGGGTGGAAAAGGACCCACTCCAGTACAATTCTTACAGATGGCTAAATTGCGAATGTTCTTTTTTTTCTTTCTTCATTTTACTCTACTTGATTGAAACCACAAAGTACCATTATGTGCATTCAAACATCAATAAACAAACACTAGTGTAAGATAGTGTACATTCTAAGTTTAGAAAATAAGTCTTGTTAAGAAACAGGTCAGAATGTTTGAATATCTACTCTGCAAAAAAAGGTTGTTTTTTTTTGCTCAGTTTGTTCAATTAAGCCCACACCAAGGCGTGGGGAGAATACACAAATAGTCAGTTGAAATATCAATATATCAGAAATTCATTAAGAACATACGCAAATATAATAATTTCCTTAGATGACACTTAAATTACTTTAGGTAATGGGTTGAAATGGTGACACTGTAAAACTTTTTTTGCGTCATATTGATTACTTTATGTGACAATTCTTAGTCCTTAGCCCTGACAAAATGTATATTGGTGTGTTTAAGGCCTCTACTTACATTACAATTGATAGTAGTACATAATTAACATCCATGTGGCAGACACAATCAAAATATGGGTGAATGCAAAAACTTACATTTTTGGTGCTGAATATGTCAACTCTAACATCTACATAGCTCATTTGTTTGCCTTCAAAGTTACGAAATGTCACAAACAAATTAAGACTGGTGAACAAGTAGCTTTTGATGAGCAAAATTACACAATCAGTTTTTAATTAAACAAACATTAATTACTCTTAATCCTGCTAGCAATGTTGGCATATATTTTGTCTCTCTCCCAAACAATCAGAGAAGAAAGTTTTCTTGCAAGGGTCAGGTGTATACATGTTTACACCAAATTCACACGAATGCCAGAGTCTGCACCTGTAGCCATCATAGAAAAGCCATCATTCACTGCATGCATGCAATTCTCCTGCTGCCATGCTGCTCCACCCTTCTTAGGAAAGGTCTTTTAGCTTTTAAATGCTACGAACAATCAGCTCTTTGTTAACATTGATTAATACTTTACAACACTTGTGTTGTACAGGCAGCTGCTGCAGGATAGATGTATAGATGGGACGCTTCTATGATGGTTACCGCTTTATATTTCTAACTCTCAATCAATCTTCAGTAAATCTATATCATTATCATGCAATATTACTTTTGTTTCAGCTGCAGAGTTGTTCATCTTGGATGCAAAGTCATTCCTTTAGAACAGGATGTACTCAGCTTATGGTTTTCTGAAAGAAAATTGAATGCCAAGTGTGTAAACTTTCCTCTTTCATTGGTCCTCAATTGGGAAATCAGCCCTCAAAATAGTTTTAAATTTTGGCACAAAAGAACACTGACAAAAAGACATTCCTTGGGTCACAGTTAGAGGAGTTACATTTAAATATATTTATATTTATTATATACGTATGTGTATATATATATATATATTTGATTTATACAACTTTTCTAATATCACCCCCATTTTTAAAAACAGTCCTCTTGTTCTAACTACCAGGCAGTTATCATTAGATTAGAATCCATGCTTTTCAATGTGGTTTCAGGTTGTGAAAAATGATCCTGCATTTTTCGTATCAGAAATTTTAATCTTTCATGGGCTATTATATTCCAGCTCCTTCTGTAAACAGAGATTCCTTAGAGACTACATGACACTTTCCCTGGAATAAGTTAATGGAAAAAAAACATGAACGCTGGGTGACAGCTTAACAAGTGATTTCCAGTTACTGCATTTAGATCCTTCAAACAATTTCCAAGGTGTTTTTTTAAATCATAAAAATCCTCGTGCTGTATAATATTTCTCTTGGACATCAAGACATTAAGATAATTGTCTTGTTGAATAACTGATAAATGTTACTGCAGTGAAAATCACCGGCTAAGCTGGTCATTTTCCACTGAACAACTGAAAAGCTGCAATGACTGGATGTGTTTTGATTATTGCTTTATAGAATGTAGCTAATTTGTTTGGAAATAAATACAGTATTAATATCCCTGCAACACTGCTACTGGCAAAACAGAGGCCTATTTTGAAAAGTTTTTGTTTTAGAGTAAAGACACTCCAAAGTGTTTCATTAAAATATTGTTAATTAGTAAGAGAAATTGGATTTTTTTCTGAAATCTTGCTTCAAAATTAAAAAACAACAAGTTTTTTGTGTGTGTGTGAAAGAAAAAAGCCCAAAATGAAATTCAGTAAACTTTGAATCTGATTTCAATTGCTACATATGTATTTATTCCTCAATTGATGTTGGTCTCAACCCAACACACTGTATTTCATCCCTCCTCTTTCTGTATAGCTTATAGCTCATGCTTAGTCTTATCAAGTTGCCTGCTAATTAATTAGAAGTTTTAATCAGTCATGCGGATGCTACCAGCTAATGCTACAATCTTACGGTAACTAGCAAGGATATCCCTTCCCTCCCTCAGATTTTAACATTAATCAACTACGTCATTATAGATTAACTTTGGCTCACTCCAAAAGACACTAACAACCATAATATTTACACATAAAAAAACATTAAGAATCATAAAGTGCCCAAATTAAATACATATACTTTTGTTCGTTAATAAACTATAAATTTCTCTACAGTGTGCACATTGTGTTCCCTTTAAATTCATCCTATTTTTGTGTCCTTTTTTTTTTAATCTGCGAACGTCAGTCCAGACAGATCCTTTGTTTGGATGATGCAAAGTACATTTCATGCTTCCTTCCTCTCTCTTTCCTTTTCCTCCCTCTCTTCCTCTCTCCGTACTGAGTCGTAGCATGGCTAATCACCAGGTGCCTTGGCGGTTTGTGGATTAGGGCTGTAATTTAGAATAAAAGGGATGCGTCTCTGCACGGCCTGAATACTTGCTGTCAGATGTTGTGAGTGGTTGTTTGTGTTCCTCCCTCACAATAGCACATGCTGCAAGGTAATTGAAGAAGAGGAAGGAGAAGACACTTGCTGGTAGAAATTGGCACAGTAGAAACTGTTATTAGACAACTGTTAGCCAAAGCTTTAAAAAAAGAGAGGAGGAATCTTAAAAATCTACTTCTAGAGTATAAGCTAAAGAGCATTCCAAACTACAATTAAACTGGGATATACAGCAAGTTCTCAGCCCTATACTGTCAGCCAGGCTACTGTCCTCAATGCCTGTGGAAACATATGTCTTTTTTGTATTAGTATCACGTGTCAGCGCTACAACACAGGTACAATAACTAACCCCTGCACTTGATGTGACCTGCACGACCAGGTGGATGTGAAAACACAGAACAGAACTGAACCAAATGAGGACATGACAGCCTTAACTTTTCAGACCCCATTTACACTTGGCAGTTTAATAACAGCTGTATCTAGATTGTATCCTGATATGGTTTAACCACATTGCATTTGGACGTGACAGTCACATGCATGTATGGTTAGCCACTTTGATTTCTAATCCAGATCTAATACAATATATTGAGCGCATAAAATCCAGTTTAGTTTGGCTGTCACGCCAGATATCTGTATATGCCATTTTTCCACTTTGGGATGCATCTTTAGTGGCAGCATAATGCACTAGGGTATAATGTAATTAACGGGTTCAGGCAATCAGATTTCAAATTGCTTTAAGCTGGAAATCTCTATTTGGGTGTAATCAATTTAGATTAAAAAAAACAACCAGGTAAAATGGGGTCGGAGATCACAAGTCTGCATGTTTTCATCCTCACCAAACACAACTCTAGCTGATTTATCTAAAAAGTGCCTTCCATAGTAGATGACACAATACTGAATAAAATCAGCTTATTGAATGATTGATTGGAATGAAAATGACTCTTGGGTCATACTTGCACATGGTCTTTGGGAACTCAGAACCTGCTAGTTCTTCTTTTAAACCATATAAATCCACTCAGGAACCAATTTATACCTGGTGCGACAAGTATATCCAGGCCAACTGGCAGGATAGAAACCCAGCAGTACTCTGGATCCCCAAGATCAGGTAGAGATCTAGAAGATGAAAGGGGTTTTCATTCATGCCTGTTCCACACACACACACACACACACACAGAGTACCAAACAAACTGAACACAGAAGGGCCAAATGTGTGACACAAAAACCAAAAACAGCTCAAGTCAGAGTGTTCGAAACCAAGATGTCTTCATTCTTTTTTGAAGTCCTCTGTAGTCCTGCTGCGCACAGATCCCTTCATCTAAAACCTGCTGTCCCCATGCTCCTGCAGAATGGGACGCTGGTGTCTCAAACCGTCCGAGGGCAGTCTCACTTTCTCTCTGGACTCGTGGATTGACAGATAACACTCAGGAGCTGTCCAGCCCCTTAATGAGGACACACCAAGACAACAAAGAGTCCTGGGAATGACAATTGAATGTAGGCTGCGAAGAAGGCGCGTAGCTGAAGCAAAGCTGAGCCCGCCGTGTATTGTGGTCCCAATAGGATGTAATCAATGTTGGCAACCGAGCCCTCCTTTGAAGTATCCTCATTAAGTAAGTTTTTGCTTTTTCATCAAAGAGATCTGAAGAAAGCGAAATTTTTCTGTGAGTCTGAGGGGCGGTCGGTTGCAACAACAAAAGAAATGTGCTTCCCATGAGTCTTGGGAAACAGTCTAATACAATATCAAAATAATTACAGTACATTTCCATTGAGTGGCAAAATGACCTACTAGTTAGTAAAATCATTTCCCAGTCAGGGGAGTGGTGTGGTTGGACCTGTCGAAGTGCCCTTGGGTAAGACACCTATCTGCTGAGGAGCAGCACCACCTGGCTGACCCGGGTGCAGGGCCACAGGCTATATATAAAAATGTGTCTTAGGTTTTTGTTGAGACAGTTGTAGAGTCTTAGCCGCAACAACAAAACTTTATATTTTTGCGTGAGTCTTAGGATCGCTCACAACAGGGCCCGATGGTGCTTTCCAAGGACATCTGGGAGGAATGGCGGATGAGTGGTGCCATCGTTGGGTCCACCATGGAGGAGGTAGGGAAGAGCTTGTACCAGCCAATCACCATTGTGCTGAGGTCCAGCTCCTCCAATAGGATTCGAGCTACACCCATGAAGCATTTGCGGTCCATCCGTCCATAGTTGCCCCAGACGATCACCTTAAAAAAGGGTGGCGAGATATAAATGTATGTATTCATAATATATTTGCATTTACATGTCAAAGCAGAGTTAATACAAAAATAAGAGCAGCTTTTTAAGCGTGCAAAGTAATCGTTCATACGAGTTTCAAATATATTCTACTTAAAACACTCAAAAGACCTGCTTTGATTTTTCAAGAAACCCAAATATGATACCTGGACCATAACAATGTAAGATACCAAAGCACTAGTGCCTTAACCAGTCGGTGGTTTTTACGGTCACTGTTTGACATCACTACATTGCAGAGACGTCAAAAGGAGGAGATCATAGACGATGCTTGGGCATACAGAGCACAGGACAAGTAGTAGATGTTGAGATATTTGACAGTATACTGTACGGTTTCTCTACTGCCATCAGCAGTTCAAGGTCATTATATTTACAGGGACCTTGAATATCTGTGAATATCCAATGGAAATCCAACCAATACTAATACTGGGGTTCACCAAAGTTAATAGGATTCATCTCAAGATTAACAGGGAGCAGTTTGCAGGTACATTTAATACATTACTTTTTAGATAAATTGTATAATGCACATTATCTAAAAAGTAATGTATTGAATGTAATTGTATAATGCACATTTTTATATGAACCATTTTGGGTATTTTTCCATAAATTAAAGTGTGTGGTGCTGTCTGTATCTGTAAAGACCCTGCCCTTCGCCCGTATTTCTTTATTTTTCAGTGTTCTGGGTGTCAACCTTTAGGTAGTGGGTGTGTAGACCCCAGCCAATAACAGTGCACAGGGTGTGAGGGCGGGACTTAGTGATAGCAGTTTTTATTTTTTATTCAATTTAGCAAACAATAGAGGCCTACTGTATGACTTCCAGGAGCTCTTTTAAATCTATATTAATATCCTGACTATAATGCCATAAATATCACATCATTTTTATAGAAGTTATTGATCAGAAAAGCTCTGTCTACAGGTAGATGCAATAATGTTCCTGTCTGTGTTTTCAGCCCACTAAAGAGAATTCAGTCAATTTCAATGGATTTGATGCCTCAACATGGCATCAGAGGTCTTTGAATTGTGCCTAAAACATTCTGTGGATGACCAGGATGATTAATTTACAAAGTAATTAGGTTAAGAGGGTGAGGTTAATTATCAGTAATCCAGATGGTTTGGAAATCTGTACTGAAGCAATACTGGATCTTGACAGTTTCCCTCTCTCTGTTACGGCAACACAGAGCAGGCGGAGGTTTCAATTAAAGTTAATGAAGAGGGATTGTGTGAGAGAAAGTGAGAGAGGGTGAGAGAGGCAGATGATGGCGGTATGTGCTTAGAGACCTGTGTGTGTTTGTACGTTACGTGTCCTCTGTCTCCTGACATCCTGATAACATCAGGGCTCATCTCAGACAGCCCCACATCTTGTCAAGCGGCGGACAAAGTAATCAATATCAGTCTGCGTGTGTGGTGGTCTTGTGTGTCTGTGCATGCCAGCATACCAATTTGTTTGGTATGTGTGAGTGTGTATCTGCAACTGATTTCCACAGAGACACAGAGATGCTTCAGTCTGTTCCCACAATCTTTAAAGAAAGAGAATCTATCTTTTCTTTCTGAGCTGAACCAATAAAGCGGAGAGAGAGAGACACTGGGAGAAGGAGACATGCATGGTGGAACAAGAGAAACTGGTTGAGTGTTTAGTATGGAAGATAAAAGATACAGTGTCCTAGATCCTCTTTTAGTCCACTTTCTAGGAAGTGGAACTTCGGCACAGACACAAACACATTCACAGTGCTGGTACTGATGGACAGACAAAAAGGGATTTAATAAAAAAAAAAACAGCATGTTGCATTGAAGTGAGGATAAGTGGGTACAGACAACGGATGGATGAACTTAAATTGAAGGAAAGAGAACTGTAAGTGCTTGCTAACACCAGAAAGTAGGACAGCAAAATTCATTTGGATATTCTTCTTAAAACACCTTTGCTTATTGCTTGTTTTTGCTTTTTTCATTGTACTTATTTATGTTTGCATTTTGTTTTAATATTATTATTATTATTATTATCTGGGCCAGTTCACATGTACAGTGTACAATGTACAATATGTTCTAGATAATGGTCTTCTTCCAAACTTGTGGCAACAGGATCAGTGTGCAGTATCTAGTGGTATCTAGCTGTGTACTGTAATTGCTGATTTCAACCCCCTCACTTCGCCCTCCCAGTCCAAGCATGAAGGAGAAACCTTCCTATGAATTTACATAGGAGCCTACCTGTGAATATTATATTGCATTTCTGCCAATAGTTCCAATGTTACACACTGGACCTTAAATTCAACTACATCAAGCACCTTCAGGGTGAACTGGAACCGACCCTTTCGGCCAACAACAATCAGCGTTGGACCTCAATTATGTTTTTGTGGATGAATGGGAGCAAATCCCTGAGTCTTCCTAGAAGAGTGGAGGTTGTTGTAGCAACAGATTCATGCACATGGTTTTAGAGATGTTCAACTATCAGTGTAATGTTTAAAAGTCCACTTTGTTTTGGTCACCACATACTTATTATGCAGGGTAGGTGATGCTGGAAGACTACATCAGGGTGGTTCAGGTGTCAAAGTTCACAAAAGCACTGTACAGATTTACCTCTTTTGATTGATTAAAAGGACTGCTTTCAAGAAATTTTGTTTTTATACATTCTGGTGTGACTGAGCCCTAAAGTATAGAATCAGATAGAGAGATTACTTCCGATGCTCAGCATGTCTCTACCTGAGCCACTCAGCTCTGACACCAGAAACTCCCTCTGGTTAGAAGAGACAGAATAATAAAGAATGATGGGAGAGAGGGAGATAAGAGTGACACATTTGGACAAATAAATCCTAGATTTGCTACTTTTCCCACTTCTGAAAAAGACAGAAAAAAGCTGTCATACATAAAGGGTAATGGAAGAAAAAGAAAACCTTTTTATTTTTTTATTGTTGGTTGCTTCTGTACTTCGTGTACCTAATTATGCAACAATGGTTATATTCTATGTAAATAAAGCCTATCTGAACTTTGAAAGAAAGATAACAATGGATTTTTAAATAGAGAAACAAACTGATAGAGATCGTTAGCACTCACATACACTCAGCTCACAGAAATAAGCTGGAATATAGATTGCATTTACTCAAGAAAATGCAAAGCAAACACACAATAGCATATGGAAAACAAAACAACATAAAAGATTACACATTGTCAGAGAGCCCCAGATAAGAGAGAAAATTAGATGATCAGGGGATGGTAGCAGAGAGAAGAGGAGACGAAAGATGCACAGCCGATAATTAGAAAGGAGGCGTTTAGCAGCTAATTACTCAGTGAGAGCAGCCTCAGGACGTTCTGAAGGCGTTGTCATTGAACACACAGAGGTTCAAACCCGCAACCTTCAAAGCACACTGACCTGACCTCTGTTTAAGACACACATACACCGGTCCCAAAGGCCCATGAGACATTCATTATAGACGAAATAAAGGGAAAAAGGTCTTCAGCTTTGCTTTACATGAATCCCAATTTCAAACAATTATACAAAAGTCCCAGGGACTTCAAAGCAAATGATCAGTATATCAATATCAGTATAAATGAGTCCAGTGGGTGATTTATGTGTTGTGTTCTAAATCATTACTGCAGTGGCAGAGTGGAAACATTTTTACACAGTGAAAGCAGAGATGTTTGGGTAAATCAGTCATAGCCGACAGATTAAGAAACGCAGCACCAAACTGACAACAGAGACCAGGTGGAGGCTCATCGCTGGCCCTGTTCAGGCAGATTGCTCGGGTCTTTTAGCGGCCACTTGTCTGTCCTTTATTTGGAAGCCGCTCAGAATGTGATCGAAGCATACAGATTTAATAATAATGGAGATTTAGGAAAGTAAAATTGATTGTGTGGAGCAGAGGATTGTGGTTTTTACTTTCCATTTTTTTCCACAAAGTCTCCACAAAGTTATTGGAGCAGCTGATTACAGCAAAGCCCACTACAATGTCAACAATCATGTTCTTTGAATTAACACTTTGGTTTCTTCCCATGCGTCATTGAGTCGGTTGAGGAAGTATTTTGAATGAATTTTCTGCAGCGCTGTGCTTTGCTAAATGAGGAAGTGACAAATTGAAAAGCGCTGCTGATTTCAGCGATTTTCATTATCCAGTGTGAATGAGTTTGATGAAACTCGGTGGACAGCGACACAGACAGCAGATAATTAAGAGGGAGGCGTTTAGTGGCTAATTACACAGCGACAGGAGCAGTAGAGCAGCCTGAGGCAGATCTGCAGGCCTCTCCACTGAACACACCACCGTCTCCACCTGCTGATTACTGAGAAACACCTGACGCACACAAGGTTAAAACAGAGAGTGTGCATGTTGGTGTTACGTGTTATTTCACCATTACGAAGGCGAAATGAAACATTACTGTAACAGGATTACAGCAAAACGAAATAATAAGAAAACAAATGTGAATAGAGTGAGTGGTAACATGAAACATAACAGAAACGAAAATAAATACAGCAACATATCAGGATGGAACAGGAACAAATAGTACAGAAGGGAATGAAATAAGGAATGAAGGAAAAATGAAAAAAAATGAAAATGATGGAAGGAGAGGATTGAAGAGAAGGAAGGGAGAGAAAGACAGAAATGAAAGAGTTAGGTAGAAAAGCAGAAAAGGGAAGAAAGAACAAATGGCTATTGAACAAAGGTTGGTAGAAAGGGAAAGAAAAAAGACAGTGAAAAAGGTGACTAAAAGTAAGAGAGGGTAGCAAGCAGAAAAGCAGAGGAGGAGAAAACGTTACAAAAAAGGAGGAGATAATGCAGCAATGAGAAAAAATAATGTATAAAGGACAGGAAGGAGAATAAGAGTGGAAAAAGAAGGAAAAGAGTGACATTGAAACAATACAAAATGAAAAGTGGAAGGAAAGAAGTGACAGAGCTCAGAATCCGCTGTAATGATCAGTCTCTCCTCTGTGACATTTTTGATCCTGAAAGCAGCTGAATCAAACAGCCTCCCGGTCCCCCAGGTCAGATTCTCACTGGAAATGTCAACCTCTTCGTCCCAACTTCTTCTGCTGTCTCTCCTCTGCACCTCCTCAACTTTTTAGTCACTAACTTGCATTCATCAATCCACGCATTCACAGTGAGACACTTTTGTTATTTTATGGTGACAGTCTGACAGGATTCATCTGTTTTGGGGTTATTAAATTGTTTTTTCCACTACCTTGATGTTCTTGTGGTAATAGCATGGCTGCCAGTCAGTCCACCACTTTGGTCCAGACTGAAATATGGAAGTTTTATACAGACATTCATGGTCCCCAGAGGATGAATCCCACTGACTTTGGTATTCATGGCTCCTAGATTGTCAGTACATGATTACCGTGGCCAAAAGAAATCACAGTATTATCGTAATATCTATAGAAAATGTCAAACATTTAAATTAAAATAATAATGCTGTCAAAGTCATCTTTAATTTTTATTGTGTGTTTTGTCTCTTTTTTGCCAAATTAATTTGACACCTACTATGTTGGACGGTGAACCACGCAACACTATTAACATATTATTATATGAGTATTATTAACACAATATTGAGATGTCCGTTTTTAAATATCAAGGTTATTGTCAATTTCATACACCTGTAGTCCTAGATGATGAATCCTAATGACTTTGGTGATCATTTGACTTTTCCTCTAGCGCCACCATGAGGTTCACATTTGTAGTTTTTGAGTAGTAATAGTGAAGTAGTAACAACTACTGGATGGATTTCCCCACACATTCATGTTTCGCTCAGGGTAAGAAATTCAGTTTCTACCTAAATACAATCCCAACGGCCACAGCTTTACTTTGTGCTTAGTGCTAACTAGCTAATGTTAGCATGCTAACTCTATAAACTAAGATAGTGAACATACCTGCTGAACATTAGCATGCTAGCTTTGTCATTGAGCCCATATGAGCATACTGGTGTTAGCATTTAGCTCAAAGCACCAATGCCTCAGGTTTCATTGTATTTTGTCAATGGTTCGGGGGAATTAAGGAGAGTTCAGGTTTGATTAAAATGTCTGCTCATTTCCTGAATTACCATAAGCTACTTTGTTCACATTGTAAGTGATTTCTATTTTTTATAAGCTATTTTATCCTTGTCTTGGTCTTTTTCATGTGTAAATCCTGAAAATCAGATCTCACCTGCACCACTTTCCCCTGTGGACTTTCGGAGAAGACCAGGACCTGGTTGTAGAGAGGATCCAGAGACTTCCTCACTGACTTGGTCTTCTTCTTGGCCACACAGATCCCGTTCTCTAAGAGGTAAACTTTGATGTAGGCCGCTGAAACGACAGCAGACAGAAACGTTAAACCTGAACTCAGTGTAAACCCCTTCAGAGTTCAAACTGTAGACTAGAACAGACGGAACAATATGGGACAGTAGAACCTGAGAAGAATAGATGAGGGCAGAGTAGAGAAGAGTAGAAGAAGGCAGATTACAGCAGAGCACAGTAGAAGACAAGATAGGGGACTCGAGGAGGGACTGATACAACCTGCAAGGCGAGGGTCATGTGACAGACAGAGACAGTGAAAAGCATCAGTGGGGTACTTTCCGGTTGCTTGTTTGTCAGCAGGTTACTGACTTCTTAAAGTACAAACCTTGTAGCTTCTGCTGTAAGACTTCAGTGACCTAAATAAAGAGGTTATCTAACCTCCCTCCAGAATATGACATTAACCTTATTCATATCTATGGATCCCATTGTTATCGATTCTCTAATAGGTTCTGTACCATTGTTTATGAACAGGCCTTTTTTAGGTTTTGATCCTGATGCAAGTCACACACTCAAGCTACAATCTGAAAATGAGATAAGATAGAACTTAATCTTTTAAACAATCCTTTTGAGCCAAAGATGCTCATCATACACAGTTAAAATAAATATATAAAGAACAATATAAGATATAATTGGTGATTTAATATGTATCTGACGCATTGAAATAACAGGATAGCAATTTGGCAAACCCTATTTTTTACAATTTACTTGATCCAAATACTGAAGGTCTTGGTTCAAAACTATTAAACTGAAAAAAATATTGATATTATATGTGTAAATGTTTAACTGGGAGAATGCAACTCCTGAAACAGACTTGATGCAATCAAGATGCAAACAATGGGCGGTTTTACTTATCACATAATGTTGGTGTTAGGATTGGCTTAAGACATCTCTAATTTAAACTTTTTTTTAAATAAACACTCATAATACTTATGTATCCAGCTGACAGCCATGGATTATAAAGATAAAACAGTTTACTGCTGGCAGTAGACATGCTAGCAGATTAGCTCAGTAGCCTCGCCTTGTAGTCCCTGATGGTCCCTTAAGAGTTTCACAGAGCAGAGTTGAGGAGAATAGACAAAGGCAGAGCAGAGGAGGGGGAAGTCTGCTGCACTGTACAAAGCTCATGCAAAAACCATTTCAAACCATTAGTTTCAAATTTTCTGCACAAAAAGGACTAAAATCCTCAAAAAACATCAGATTATGCAAAACACACTTTATACATACACATGCAAACAATTGCTGTTAGCACCCTGAAGAAATTCCTGTGAGTGAGCAGAATTGTTTATAAAGTTTTCCTACAAATTGATCTCTGTCATCTCTCCGTCATAGGGCAGCTTTCAGTCTGAAAGTGTTTTTTTTTTTTTTTGTCATTTATCACCCTGCAAGTCATCAGCCTGCATCATACTGCTGTGCTTTAATGAAGAAATACAGCTTTCTAATAATGTAGCGAACACCGGTCTTATAATTTTATTTCCTGGAATGAAACTTTGTTGCTAGGTAACACAACCCAAAACAATAACAACATGAGACTAGACTTTGACTTTGACTGACTGACACAAACGCACGCGCACACACACACACACACACACACAGACCAAAGCTTTTTATATTAGATGACAAGATTAAAGATTAGACCCCGGCACACTGAAATATGGAGCAAGGTTCTGCTTTGTCTTTCTACTATATATGGATTTCCTTTCATCTCCATGTCTCGCTGTTTTCACCAGCATGTTTTTTCATTCATTCACGTTAAATCGCTCTCTACTCTCGTCCGTCCGACTCTTGTTTGTGCTTTGCTCTGTTTATTATCCTCTTCTCTTTTATCTCTCTCCTATAGTTTTTTTCCCAGATAATGTTTTTGTTTTTCCTTATTTGCTGATGCTGTTTTGTTCTTATGCAATTAGGATCAATGGCTGGTTTAACATTATGCAACCACACAGGGGATACAATCAGAGTTAATAGTTTGTTGTTACACAATCCAACTTGCTGCAAAATAAAAAAATAAAATATATAAAACAACAGCTCATGATGTCATGCTGACATTGTGCCAGTCCTCGTTCTATTTCCTGTCAAGTAATCTGATTAATTAATTAAACTAGCCGATTCTTGCCTTGATCACTTTCGTGTCCGCTTGATGTATTGCTCCGTTTAATATACAGTAAAACCAACTGGGCAGCCAACTCATGTTAACAGCTCTCCAAGTGCATTTTGATTTTGATATATTTCAGGTGCAACTATGCATGAAGCTGAAAATCCTTGGGGTGTACTGTAGAGTGCAAATGCAGAAAATGTGTCACTGAATAACTAGTGCTCCTGTGACCGGGGCTGCGGTAATGTATGCAAGGTTTTGAAGTAGCAGACAATACAAACATCATGTGGGGAAATTAAATCTATTATTTAACATAATAATCATATTTGAACACTAAAGGTGCCCTGTGGAACATGTTTACATTCAGTGTTTCTCACTAAAACAGACTGTGTGTATGCTTGACCTCTTCCATGTCTTTGACGGTGCATTTGTTGGCGTGTTGATGAGTGGAGTGATGTCAAATTTTTGTAAGGAATGTGCATCAGGTCACCCACCTGCATGTGCACGCCACCAATGTAACAAACAATAACAAACAAAATGAGAGCCTGCTCATAAATACATTGGTCCATTGCGCTACTAGTGGTTAAAAATGCCACAGTGTACTTTTAAATGAATATGCCCCATTGCTGTCACTGAGTAAACTGCCGACCCCTGACTAAGTTTATGTAAAACGAGCAATTTGCATAAATTTTAAGCAGATTATTTTCCTTTGAATATTGATCAATATCAATATTGAGATGATTTTCCCTGATTTTTTTTTTTTTTTTACTTTTCATAGAATTTTCTGTCTGTCATACATATTTATTACATGTTTAATGAGCATACATGCTTAATACACTTCTTTTTTTAAAATTCAGTGTTTTCTCCTCATTAGCTGTTTGGTTGTTTGAACTTTTCTAATGCAGGACAAAGCTGTTTATCAGAGAGTGAAGGCTCTGTGAATATAGCTTGTGTTCAGTTTAGATCCTAAATAATAATCTGAACTTTAAAAAGAACAATTTAATTTAGTCTCATCACAAAAACAAATGAAATTCTGACATATAGGCCTATTGTTTACATTTGTTAAGTTTTCTTACATGCCTTAAAATCAAGAAGGCCTCACGACGCCCAGTGAAGCTTTGGCGATCCCTAGTGGGGTCTCAACCCCTAGGTTGGGAACCACTGTGCTATGCCGTTTAAGCATTTCTCTAGTGGTGGGGTGCACTGGGTACATTACTCTTGACCTCATTGTTTGTAACACTCTGGCTGCGCCTAACTGTGACACAGACCCGTATATGTGCTGATGTGTTTGGCTTTCACATTTATTTTTGAACACTGATTCTTCCATCTAATGTCATTATAGCTGGACAACCATTTTCAGACTGATGTCAGAAACTCGGACCATCCAAATACTGGAGTTTTTCTCCCATGCAGATACTACAGAGCAGCATTTGAAGTCAGAGCAACATGCTGCATGTTTCACTAAGAAGCAAATGTAGATCTTACTTATTTAGCAGATCTCCTCCCTCTGCTCAGTATGTTAACTCCCTGAACAGTCAGTGAAAACACAATTTCCTCCTCTTCACTCATACATCTTTCATATCTTGAAGGACCATAATTGTGTTTTTGAAGAATATATCCCATTAGTTTTAGAATGTCCGCTGCAGGCTGTTTTGTTTGTGTGTAGCTGATGCTATTTGCTGTCTTGTGCATGTAACTGCAGATACGGCAGTTGTTTGATGAACAGCAGTCTTTTTAATGGAAAAAATCAGTTTTTATGTTTTGACTGTGAAAATCCTATTGAAAAGGACAGCTTTGTTTCTTTGCTCAGTAAACAGACCAGAGTGGACTGACCTGGAGGTCCCTTTGAGCCTGGTTTCATGGTGAGTCCTCTGGCCTGAACGACCTCCACCTCCAAACCCCCGTTCCTCTCCATCAGACCGATCTCTATGTCACCTGGGATGTATTAAAACACAATCGGGATGGAGAAGGTGAATATGAGTTATTCTTTTATAGTACATGTTGATAAGTTTACATCAAGTATCATAAATAACATAAATACGTAATCAAGACATGGATGTCATCAAAACACAAAATAAACAGCACAGGTGTCTTTCTAAATGTGATTAAAGGTTCAAGGTTTTTTATGGAGCAACCGAGATGTAGCTCCATCTTTAGATACTCTGAATTAAACCCTTTACCATCCATGTAAAGAGTGATAGCATTTGGACTCGATAATCCATTAAACACAAGTGCAGTCCTGCAAATTGTTTTTGGTAGACTGTAGAGACTTTTGAGATTGACAAGAGGGCAAAGGCAAATGCAATAACTGCTGACAAGGAGTCACAGATGTCAGAGTATTGCCTGGAGAGCTAAGAATTCTTCGTTATGCATCTTTAAAGAGGTTCAATGTCTGTCTCTCTGGTTCAGCTCTGGTTCAGGCGATTTCTGGCCATGAATGTTGAAATCTCTCTGTTCCTTCATTGAAGGATCGTACATGTTGGCCAAACATCTCTACCTTTATTATAAGGACCTCAGAGTAATGCTTGCCGTTGAGCTGATGAGTGGTCCGCCCGGCCGACCAGCTGTGACGTGCAAAGATGAACTCGGAAGTCGGTCACGTGGCGCAGGCGGTGTGGCCCGACTGATCGCTAGCGCCAAATGAACAGAGGCGCGCACCACTCTTTTTTATTCACGCTTGAAGCACGCCAAAGCTTGAGAACAGGAGACGCCTTTTACGAAGCAACGGTTGCCAATCTAGCAGATCTTGTGAT